GCAGATTAACAAAGTACACTGCTAAGGAGAGCAGCGGGCAAGATAGGAGAGGTCTGCTGCACCCTGTCAGTCACCTCCCTTGCCAAAGATCAAGCTCATGATGAAACTGCAACAGTTCATTTCAAAGTGCCATGCTTTAACCTGTTGCACCACCAGAGAGGGCTCCCAAAGTATCTAATTTTTATAATTATGCTGTGTGTTAGAGAGTATTAAACTAAGTCTATTATTCAACTGTTGGGACTTGCACCTTGCCCTTTCCACTCCTTGGAGAGACAAGATGGTGTGATGGTAACTCTGGGCATTCATGGCTCACCTAAAACAGTCTCCAACATTGGAAATTCAGCACCACCACTCAAAACTACCCACAATTTATTGTCTTCAGGCTTGTCATCCGCCGGGACCACTTGTTGGAGGGAACCTTCAATCAAGTGATGGCCTATTCCCGGAAAGAACTCCAGCGAAATAAACTCTATATCACCTTTGTTGGAGAGGAGGGGTGAGACACAAACGGTGTTAAGCAGATATTCATATGGGTAAAACAGAACCCCCATATCATGAGTGATTTTTCTCAAAAAAGAACAAGGCAACTCTTAGTCCCAAGATGATTCTGATTATGTCATTTTAGGATAACTTTCTTTCCTGGTTTTGCCAAGTTTTAGATTTGAAGTCGACTCTCCAAACACTTGTAGTGGAGTCTAAGGTTATGTGACAAAAGTGTAGCCAAAATTATAGTAATGTAGTCCTAGAATCCCAGCTTTTTACATTGTCAGGTGGTATACACTTCTAAGTCACTAATCAGAAAATCTTTCTAAAATGAAAATACAATTACCTACCAAAGTTTTCCTGTAAATTCAGAGAAAATTATCTCAATTGTGGAGGGCAAGCCCACTAAGGAAGGCATATCAGAATAAACTTGGAAGTTCACACACATGTGTATATGATTGCACATAGGCACTGTGGCATAGGAAGTTTTTTGTGCCTCCTACAATCGAATCCTTGTTTTAAATGTGCCAGCTATTGATCTAATCTGTATTACAAAACGAAAAAGGTTAAGGACCAAGGCATGAGTTCATTCATAGATAACTGAGTAAGAACATCCCCAAAACAATCACTACATCTTCCTTTTCTAGAGAAAGCTGATTGTAACTCCCATTGGAATCCTCTCTAACAATTTTAGACTCTACTCTACATTCCCCAGGTTGACTCTGAAAGAGCACAGCCTTCCCCCACAAGCAGCACTACCTCCTTATATTTTTAATGAACTTACTGGGTTTCTCTTTCCTCTGCAGCCTGGACTACAGTGGTCCATCTCGAGAATTCTTCTTCCTTTTGTCTCAGGAGCTCTTCAACCCTTACTATGGACTCTTTGAGTACTCTGCAAATGATACTTACACAGTGCAGATCAGCCCCATGTCTGCATTTGTGGAAAATCATCTTGAATGGTAAGATCTGAAAATTTTACTTATGTTTGAAGTTTTAGCTTCAGAATCAACAGAATTTCTTGAATGTCATTGTAGTTAGAGTAGGTAGAGGAATGGGCCAAATATTATAAGGGTGAAAAAAAAAACCCTCTGGTAGTCTTTACCTAGAATGGATAACATATCAAATGCAAATTAATGTAAAATACAGTAATTATTTTCTGAGTAGACACAGGAAATTAATTTTGATAATTCTACTAAAATCATAAGAGTCTCTAGTGAAAGATTAATGAAAGTCATCAATTTTTAATTCTTTGATCTTTAATGAATGGCTTTAGCACTGTGAATATCAACTATTATATTTACTTAAAGTAAATTATTCTATTTTTCTTAGAGTCAGGTGATCTCTAAGAAACCTCTAGCTTGAAAATCCAATATCTCTTTAATCTCTCCTATCAAAATATCAATTACCACTTAATTACATGCATAAGAAAATAAATATCTGTCAAATCTAAGAGTTCTGTTGGTGAAATACTCCAGAGATAGGTATAAGAAATCTGTGGAACTACATAGGGCTTTTAGAATATATTCACTTTCCTAATTTTCTGCTGTGGCACTACCACACCCTATTTAAAAATTAACTCTTCTTGGCATATAATAGACCAGGCAAGAAAATAATGATAATGGTGAAAAGCTATATACCAGAGACATTTTGTGGGAGTAGAATGGGGAATGGTATCAAAAATATTGGGGGGAGGGAAATACACTGAACTATGGTGACGGCACATGGGTGATTTGGTGATGGGAAGACAACTGAGATTGCAACTGAGATGGAAAAATGCACAAAAAAAATTACCCCTACTCTTACTGCAGGGTTTCCTGCCATAAAGAGGAAGATGAGTCCTGGAGATTTCTATTATGTTCGCTGCTGACATTGCTTGCTTATAATGTGATTCAATGACTGCTGGTAAAGGGAATTTGGTCAGTTAAATTTAGAGCCTAAATTCCCATGTTTTCAAAATAGCTAAGTTTGCTAACTCTTCCATCTATTACACATGCCTTCTCTCTCCAAAGTTCTTGAGCTGATGCAGGAATGTGTCTACATCAAGCATCTGGCACAAATCAACAAATGAAATTTCTCCTTTGTCATTCTTTCACATGTAATTTGTCAATATTGTATGAAGAAGCAAGTGACATAAAAACACAGTTGGGATGTAGGCAGAAGAGGGGGGGCTAAAAGCTACCACGTATGGACTTATGGCCATGGGAATTGAATGCCAGCCCTCAAATATATCACATTCCAGCAGAGTTCATTCCCAATATGGAGTGTTATAACCTTTGATGTAGAATATATATGTTTGCAGATTATACTTAATATAATCCCTTAACTCTCTATTAGTTTGTAAGCATGAAATTTAAGGTGGTGTCTTACTGTGTTGATTCTCAATGATGAACACCTGAAACTTACATAATATTGTGATGCAATGTTCCTAAAGCAGTGGCAGTATCCAAGACAGGAAGAATTGAAATTAGGAATATCTCAGAAGGAAAAAATAATAAGTCAATAAGTTAATTTGCTGATTGAAAGTTTAAATTACGGGGAGGGGAAAATAAAGAATAATTCCAAGATTTTGTTTGCTCAATCAGCTGCAGTGATACTATTAACTGTGTTTGCTCAATTGGAGTTCTGTAAAGTAGATGATAGTCAGAGAAAAGTTGTGGAATTCATGCTTGACAGAGTTTACAGGTTTTTTTTTTCATAGATACAAGTTAATGTATTAATATGTAACTAGAACTCTGGTCTGGTTACTAAGGGAGTAGTTGGCTTAAAAATTGAGATTTAGGAAACATCAACAAAGATGGTGCCATGCTTTTAATGCAGGAGAAGAGAGCATGCAGAGTTGTGCAAACAGAGTGGGGTTGAGATTCATGCCAATGTGAAAACACAGCTGTGTAAGGGGTGAGCAGCATTAAAGGTATTGAAGGAAGCAAGGAGAGGCCAAAGAACTCAGAACCTGGGAGGTTAATATAGTTAATGGGTTTGGAAGACACAAGGGATGCTCAGGATGAGTCCTAATAGGTGGCGGAAAGGTGGTCATAAAAGGCAAAGATCAAAGGGGTTTTCAGGCAATAAGTAGGGTCTTCGTGGTTCCATGGCATAGGATTGGGAGGACAGAACTTAGAACATGAAGGAGTAAGAGAGTTCAATTGACTGTCAGGACTGTGGATGGTGGCAGAGGAGTACAAGGTTGAGAGCCATGAAGTCATGAAGGGGGCCCAAAGTTCTGAGATAAGATTTAGTGTTAAGCAGGGGCTTTTTTATTACAGAGTAACACCATACACCCAAAGAAAACACACTGGAATTGTAGACTCTCAATTGTTACTTAAGAGTAGCTTCAGTCTCTTTTCACAGAGAAAATTGTCTAACCTGCTGTTCATCCTCCACTTTTAATCTCACTTTATTACCCTCTACTCATTCCTGTGTAAAGGAGCTAAAAAGGTTGCGTCAATATGTCAGTTGTACTTTATTGTTTTAAGGAGGAAACTGGAAGATATAGTGAAATCTTAAGAATTAGCAATATGAACTGCAATTGCCATGTATAAAAGTCAGAGTCTCAGACATACCTCTTCTGGGTACTTCTGGAACTATTAACTGTTATCATTCCCATGAGAAGGATCTTGAGGACTTTCGTTCACTGACATTCCAACTCTTGTTGAAAATATTTACCATATAGTCAGACATAAAATTGCAAGTAGCTTTCTGGCCAACTGGCAATCTAACCAGAGTTGAAACAAATGAGTGTCCTTTTCATTGGAAGGAGTGTCCTTTTCATTGAGGAATGTCGGTACCCACAATCCTGGGCCAGCTGAGAAGCCAACAGTACAGATTGTTTATGATTGTGTGGTGAACCTCATGTAAAGTTCAACTTTTCTCCCATCAACACTCAGGGCTCTGGGAGAGGAGACTGGTTTCCTCTGGATGGTTGCTATCATAGCTGAGCATGCTTGAGGCTCTTCCTTAACTTTGAACAGGAAACCCTGTGCAGCTGTGGTGTCTCAGATGGAAATGCTATACTAATTTTTTACAGGTATTTACCTGCAGGTGACCCTTTGCCTCATGGCACATAGTTTACAAGTGAAGGAAAAGAGGGGAAATTTCTCTTTAACCCTCTATGTTCTTTTTGGGTTAATTGAACACACAAATCTGTACCAGTAATAGAAACATAACACATTTAATTGAACATTTATAAGGAATTTACATAACTATAAATTCTAGAGTGATTAGAACAGACTAAAAGGTTTTTTTTGTTGGTTTTTTTTGTTTGCTTTTTTACTGTTGAGCTAATGAATATCATAGGGGCCTGGACATCAGGGAGTCGAAGGATGGCTCCCATGATAAGGAGAAGAGGGTAACTCACACAGAAAAAGTAAATGTATTGTAACTACATGTCTTTCATACATGTAGGTTTCTCTAGTAAAAAGAGTATTTGTGTAAATGCCCCTAAATCTAAATAATCTTCGTACTTCTCTGAAGTTAAGGTAATGGTAATAGTTTTACTTGAAGCCTGCAGAGCCTTGGTCGACATAAGTTCCACATGCCAAGGTAACACATCTTAGAAAAAAGCAATTCTGGGCATTTGGGGAACACCTATCTTAACTTTTTTTAATGATTTATTTATTATGTATACAGAACTAGGGTACAGGCCAGAAGTGCAAGGGCAGTGAGAGAATTCACCAGAGGCAGAGTAGGAAGCAGAAGAGGTCAACTGATGAAGTATACTGCTGAGGGGAGCAGTGGGTGGGTGAGGAGAAGTCTGCCATGCCATGTGGTCACCTCTGGGGCAGGGATCGAAGTCATGCTGAAGTGGCTTTACCTTCTCAGTGCTGTGCTTTAACCTGCTGCGCCACCAGGGTGGGCCCCTATCTTAACATATTTTTAAGATTTAGTTATTTATGGATACAAGAGCAGAGGTACAGGCCAAAGGTGTAAGGGGTAAGAGGATTCACCAGAGACAGAATGGGAAGCAGAACAGCAGATCGAATGAAATACACTGCTGAGGAGAGCAGTGGATGAGACAGGAGAGGTCTGCTACACTGTGTGGGTCACCTTCTTTGCTGAGGATGGAATTGGCACTGCAGTCACTGCTGATAACTTCACAGTGCTGCTCTTTAGCCCCTTGCACCACCAAGAAGGACCCTACCTTAACATTTTTTGGGGGGTGCTGTTCTTTACAAGGAAAATTCATGGTTACATGTGCCCTGAGTACTTTGTCAGCTATTGGACCAGTATTTTAGGGGAGGTTACCACGGATCATACTTGGATGTAATGACTTTGTAGCTTAAACAAAGTGTGGGCCACAAGAGAGTGCTGCATTCCCAACTAGGTCATTGTAACTATAACTACTGTAGTAGGGAAATGCATGACACTGAGAAAACCTGAATTCCAAGTTCTCAAATCTAATCAACCAAGTGGATGTTCCGCATGCACCAATAGGATTGAGGCTGTGGCTGATCTCAGATCTGAGTGCAGCACCTCCCATCTTCCTTTCTTACTCTAAAAAAAATGCTTATCCCATTATCAATATCGACTGGGAGTAAAGTGACACTTATTGTGACCAATATATCACTCATAAGAAATCATAAACCAAGAGATTATATAAGGCTTGTCACAGTCACAGCTTTGATTTTGTGAAGCTGGGAATTGTTCCCTCACAAAGAACAGGTTGAAGCAGAAGTCTACTTGGGAGGAACAACTACCCACCTTCTGTCCTCTTCACTCAGCAAACCAAGCCAAACATAAACAGTGGGAAAAGTAGTCAACTTTACAAGATTATGCTTCACTCAGAATTAAAATACTGCTTGGATGTGGTTAGAAGAGGCTTCTTTTCACCAATCATTAATTTTCATTATCATGGCTCTTTCTTTTTATCTTGTCTTTGTGTCTCATACTTTTATTTGCTTTGTTCCATTCCAAACTGGAAAGTAAGTCCCATGGATGTAGAGCAGGGTCTTTCATTTGACTC